GCCTCCTACAGGGTCAACTCGTTGAATTAACATTTTGTATTTTTGAGCATAATCAGCTACACTTTGTCTTGGCTGTTGACGAATTAACTCTAAATCAGTCATCCATTTATTTTTCATGGTAGTATTAGCGAAATAGTTCAAGAAGTGGCTGCCAATATGTTCTTAAATATTGTAACTCAAATAATAAAATTATTAATTATATTAAAAATTGTGAACCCGATAAAATTTACACTTAAAGTACGTCATTAAATGTCAAAACCAAGCATCAAAACACTTTTGTTGAAGTTTACTATCATGGGTATACGGACTATAAAAAAATAATAATAGCTTAATAAAGAATTCAATAATAAATTGAACATGATTAATTGCCGTTTGTTAATATTTTGAAAAAGCTTCAGGTAAACCAAGGCCAACAATAGCTGCGATTGTAACTAATAAAGCATTGGAATTTGACATACGTTATAATTTTAAAGTAAGCTTTCTCACTACATGATTTTAATTTTACAAAATATTCAATAGCTATCCACAATCCTTGGAGTCTTACTAATTTGCAGAGATCTTTCCAATTATATGAATTAATATCTCTTACCAATCCAATATAACATTCTTTGGACAATTTTTACAGAACATTGACTGTTACTACTAAATAATATGCATAAGTCCTTTCTTTTCTACTTCAGCTTCATCACCTATTATATAAATTACAAAATATTATAAAGATAAATTTAACCAAATGTTTCATAATATACAGAACATTATCTTCATCATTGCCTATTCTTCAGCTACTTATGAACTTAACGTAATAATCGTCCCTATTGAGGCTTTTCTTTTGTAATTTTCAAATGCTCATTTATTTCTTTGATCTAAATAAAAAATATTAATAAAGTCTTTGAATTTTACCCAGTTTGGGAAACTTGAGTTCAGGAAATAGACTTCTGAAATGTTCTGTATATTCGGGAAGTCGTACTGTATTGTAACCCAATAGTAATGATCAGCCAATTTAAACCTCCCCAGAGTTGTCACTAGTATTGGATCCAAAAGTTTGGTCCATAAACTGACAATTAAAGCAAATTTAGTATAAAATAAAAAAAAGGTGAAAAAGAAATCCTATGGCAAAAATCCTGGAAATCATAAAACTTTACTTACGCGAATTAGCTTGAATAAATTCATTTCATTTTTGCATGTCTGGTTCCAAAAATATTACTGCTGTACTTCTATGGTAATCTCACATTTCTGACATTTCGGACCTATGCCATTTCCTTCCTTACAATAATAAATAATTAATTGATCCTTAAAGAATTAGAATTCGATTTGCTTTTTTTTAAATTTTGTAAATTGATCTTCGTATCTTACTTCCTCAGAAAATTAAACGAAATTTTTATTGCAAAAAATTATTGAATGAAGTATAAGGTGACAGTAAAAGCGCGATAAAGAGGGTATATAATAGCAAATAAAATAAAAATTAAAAGAAAAAAAGAAAAAAAAGGATTCCTAATTATTAAAGATTTTTTTTAAGGAAATCCGTAATCGCTGTAATAAAAACTTTAAAAGGATATAATTAAACAATTTCTATTTTGTACACGGTCATATGTGACTAATGCCCTTAAAATAATTGGCAATTTTAGCAAAATAAATTCAAAACATACCTCCATAATATAAAATATAAAGTAAACTCATAACCATGATTATCATTATGGTATTTTTATTTTAATTTATTCGTTTTTTCTACGTCTGCTCTGATTTTTGCGCGTTAATCTTTCTATTTCAATATATAAGTCGTTTTCGTTATTTTGGTTGTTCATCTTAAAAAATGTAAAGTTTATCAGTTGGTACATGTAAATTTAACTATATTCACGAAAACATATACATACGTTTAAAAAAAAATTCTTATAGAAAAATAAAAAATGTAATTAGCATGATGGAAGTTTTTGTTTCTTATAGCCGTTTTCGAATTAGTATGATCACATGATTTGTCAATCAATTAAATTACTACGATTAAAAATTTATCGTAATTGTAAAATAATTGAACTACATAAGTATCATAAATTTAAGAAATATGATGTATCCATATTTGCTTGCAGATTTTAAATTTTCATATTTTTTGACTTTTATTCGTGCAATATTTTTTATTTTTCGTGAACTGTAATTGACAAAATTTTTAATGTTTGAATTAATCAATATTTAGTATTAGAAATGCTGACCATAATTAATTTATTCGAGTAAATTTAAAATACATGACTTAACTTTTTAATTTACCTTATTAGACTTTGTAATCATAAATTATTTTGCTTTCATGCTGGGTTGGATCCATAGACTTTTTTTTCATTTTCATTTTTTTTTAGACAAATTCCTTCTCATTTCATTAAATTAATTTATTTTTTTTTAAAGTTTTTATTTTTTTATTTTTATTTTTTTAGGCAGGTTAGATCGCTATAAGCCGCAGCAATTGTTTAGTGTTTAATTCTGAGTTGATACTTGGGCGCAATAACTAAATTTAGGGCTCCAAAAGTTTTGAATGTCTAGTATCGTACAACTTGAACTAATTATTTATGTGGTTGGCGAATTTATGAAATATAATATTTGTTGCATAAGTATAAAAGTTATAAATATCGTTACGAAGATATTCAAACCTACGACATCAATTTATCAATTTAAAACGTACAATTCACATAATTTGTTCCTTTTTTTTTTTGTAATGAAGAATTTTATTTATTATAATTATTATTAAGAATTAATAAAACTTAAAATGCAAAATTTTAAAACAAATTTTTTATGCAAATATTAAAATAATATTATTAAAATTGCAATTAATGCATTAATACATAAGGTCGCTCCTGGTCCCTTAGATTTTCATAATCCCGTTCTTTTATGTTCTTCCACTTTATCTATAGGTTGTAACATCTAGAATAAAAGGTAAAAAGTAAAAGCAATGGATCATGTTAAAACGGTCTTATTAAGCTTTATAAATCATGCACGCAATAATAAAACTTACTTTTTGTCAAAAAAAAATAATTATCCTTTACTATCCCTAGCAAATATGAAGTTTTCAAAATAATTACTACCGTATATGATTATTATATTTATGTCGTGGTAGTAATTTACAACAACAAAAGTATAATTATTTGTACCGCATAATTATACCGTAACTTCACGGCTTAATCACTGATAACCAGTGAAGTTACGGCAAACAAACATATCCATACGCAAATAGGCATGTCGAAATGTGGTGGTTCGTCGTCGGTATCTTGGATTTAACTGTGATAAAAAAAGTTTAATTATAATTTATTTTAATTTTTGACATAAATTAAACTGTATAATCTTTAAATATACATTTTATATTTGGAAGAATGATTATGCAGACCACCACAACAATTACGAGAATATTTATGAGGAACACCACCTATCGAAGTTCCTCATCTCGTTGAGCAAATTAACGTATAATATTCTTTGGTAATGATTTTTCTGCTGCGATAACATCCGTCTTTTGCGTCTTTGTGGTGGAAGATGACATTGTCTTCGCAATATTACGCATTAATACGAGAGCTGAATATCATTATCATCAGCTGCTTTGTTTAATTTCCGTCATTGCTGGATGAGTTATTATCAATTTGGAAATTTCATGAAGAAAGAATTTCTTTGTAACTCTTTAGGTGTTCCAGAAATTGGATATAACTATTTTTTGTTGGATCGACGTTAACGTTTGTTTTCAACCACTCCTAGTTCTTAGTTTCAAAATATTTACGAAATTTGGATGATCTGAAAAATATCTAGTTTAAAAACAGAGATAATATATATATATATATATATTAAATCTACATTATTGGAAGAAAATGATGCATACTTGACATCATCAATGGATTTAACACTGTTTTGGGTCCTTCATACATAATTTTTCATGTTTGGTACTCTTCATACGGATAAGTTGTCTCCCTAGCAAAACAGACTATGATTTCATACTTTTGTCAATGTTTTAGTTGTTGATCTGTTTTCATCCACTCAAAGTTGTTTAGAAATTTGATCCCCGTTATTTATGTAGAATAATGCAAGCGTGTTTGACTTTCCTATCCTTATTTTTCTCTTTCATTTTTTTAATACTCATTTCGTCATTGTTCAATAATAAATTTGGCTAATTTGATACAATTCGCATTTCTAGTGATGATATCACATTGTAATGCTAACATTTTGAAATTGACCTTGGATCGAGTCAAAATCGGTTCATTCGTTTTTGAATTAAGCCTCCATTTTTAACGTTGAAAGCTACACAACATACAGGATATGACATTTCGTTGATGTTGGAAAATGTTTAATTAGGGTTAAAGCCATTTTAATCTTCATCCATATGCAACAAGTCCTGAACTATATCGTTATGATTAGTGCTCGATTCGAACCGGGTTGTTTGACCCGACTCGAATGTTTTCTCGAGTCGGGACTATCATTTTATGACACGAGTCCTAATTCAAAAAAACCCGCCGGATGATGGATAATATGAAGGCAAAAATAAGTATAAAATAAATATCATTTGTGAATCATGTGAAAAAATAATGGATAATCATCATTTCCGCCAACAAAGCTTACTTATTTAGTAAAAGTCGGAAGAAACAAATCGTTCGCATTGGGTAAATTTTATATTAATATCACTTTATATTTTTGAATTTTACTTTTATTAAATTTAGCCATTTCAAATCCATATATAGTTGGATTGGTTAGGTACTAGCACATGAAATTCTAAGAAAAGTAACTAATTTATTTATATTCTTAGAGCTGGATTTGAATTTCTAAATTTATATTTTAGTTTCCATTTATAAATGAGGGTGAGAAAAAATTTCGTCATTTGATTGATTGTTACAATAAAAACAAGAAAATGATTTGGTAAGATATAAATCCAATTAATCAGAATCAAATCAGATTTTTTTAAAATCCTTTTAATATATAGTATTCTCAAAGAAAAAAAAAAAATAAAAAAAAAAATTTTTTTTCTTGATCAATTTATAAAAATTTACATGAATTCCTACGACAAAATTACAGAGACTATTAATCCAATATTAGAGAAAGAATTAAAGACCGATGCTGAAATTCGTAAACTTTGGTCAGAGAGCATTCATTGCTACGATCAACGTCAAACGTTCAACAAGGCCAATGAAGTTTATGATTTTATAATCGTTGGAGCTGGAACCGCCGGATGTGTATTAGCAAGAGAACTCATTTACAACGTTCCCAATGTTAATATTTTGCTATTGGAAGCTGGTCCACCAAATGTTCAAGTTAATGATATAATGCGTTTACCTTGTACTTTTGCTTCGGTGAGTGTTATCAAATCAATCATGTTATCAAATTCTTTTGATTGACGATGTATTATATATAAATAGGTTTATCGAACAAGTGAAATAGATTGGGGATATCATACAGAAGATCAAAAAATGCCGAGCTCGATCGATCCTACCAAAGAAGTATTAAATAAAGGTTTCTCCTATCCGCGTGGTAAGGTCATTGGAGGTTGTAGTACTGTGAATGCAATGACTTATATGTATGTATTCTTTTCATCCGCATTCAATTAAATAGGGGTTTTTTTTTTAAAAAAAAAAAGAAAAATCCTTTATACAACTTTGAGTGACAATATTTATTATGCTTATGATATTCACTATTTTTAGGCGAGGCCAAAAGGCCGATTACGATAGTTGGGCGGCCCAAGGTCCCGAGTATTCAATTTGGGATTATGATCATTGTCTTGAAGGTATTTATTAATCCTTGTATGTATGTTTGTTACCAAACTTAAATTTAACTTGAACTGTCTATTTAATAAAAGCTTTCAAAGCAACCGAAAACAATTCGCATGAAAATCCTGACGAAGAATTTAAAAAATATCATGGATTTAATGGTCTACTCCATGTACAAGATTGTTCCAATGATCCTTCTGATATTATAAAAGAATTCATTGAAGTTGCAAAAAGTCTTGGAGTTCCTTATAATAACGATTTCAATGGTGTTAGACAAAATGGAATCGGAAAATATCAGGTGATAAACAATGGTATACATGGGGGGAAACTTTTGATGGTTATGTAATTTAATCATATAATTATATAACGTAGTCTACGTTGAAAGATGGAAAGCGTTTTTCGTTGGCTGACGGTTATTTGACAGATGCAATGAAAAAGGTTGAAATTTATCCATTAGGTGAAGGCATTGCAAAGGTCATCGCCGTAAATGTCAAATCTTTCGCCCACATGTTGAATATTATTTGGGATGATGAAAAGAATGATGAAAATGTAGCAATTGGCGTTAAATATTTCTGTAATGGTAGGGTTAATAACGCTTTTATTGCTCCAAAAGGAGAAGTGATTCTTTGCGGTGGGGGTATTAATAGTGCTCAGGTATGAATCAAAGGTTATTCAATTGATTCTGATCATGAATTTGAAATGACTGGTAATTAAGCAAGTCCATTATATACTGTATTTAAGATTTTAATGTTATCTGGAATCGGTCCAAAAAATAATTTGGAAGGAAATAATATCAAAGTTCGTAAAGAATTACCGGTTGGACGTAACCTACAGGATCATCCGTTATGTCCCTTTATTGGCAAAATTTCTATTCAAAACAGTACAGCAGATGTTTTTACATCTCATGCTTGGTGTTGTGGCCATAAACTTGGAATTTTGTTTAAAGGTAATGCTGAAGGAAAAATTCCCAATCAAAAAGATTTTCTTGACGAACGTCCCGATATTCAAACCTACAGTAAGTTAATATTTTATTGAAACCTTTTTTTAAATGCTACGTGAAGCTTTTATTCATTAATAATAATTTTATAGTAAGCACTCAGAATGTGTTTAATACTATCCTAGTGCACAAATTAGAATTTATTGCATTGTGCTCAGTTTTAAATCTCCCATCAAGCGTCGGTTACTTGGAATTATCTAGTTCTAATCCATTTGTGCAACCAAAAATCTTTCTCAATTATTATGAAAAACCTGATGATATGTATAGAATGATTAGTTCTGGTAAATTTTTACGTGAAATAATTAAACAACCTCCATTAAGTACAGTATGGGGCATGAAAGAATTTGGATTTTATGATAAATTTGGAAAATGGTGTAGTATGAAAGAAGAAATGAGTGATGAAGATTGGGAACAATATATCCGTGAACAGGTAATTTTCTTCCAACACATATAATAGGAAATTTTCAAACACTAATTAATGAATATTTTTTTTAATCTCAAGACAAATTCATCATTTCATACATGCGGTACTGTTAAAATGGCACCAGAGTCACAAGGAGGATGTGTTAATCATCGACTTGAAGTTTATGGAACTAAAAATCTTCGAGTTGTCGATGCTTCAATTTTTCCAATTATTCCGAATGGTAATACTAATGCTCCTACCGCCATGGT